TTTTGTGCCTCTCGCGTGATTTGAGTGACAGTTTTCTGGATCTTCTGGCCGTATTCAGCTACTCCATCTATCCATTTTTTCCTGGGTCTTCCTCCGGCCTTTCTTCCCGATGTTCTATTGTAAAAGGCCTTATAGGCAATCTGATCCGGTTGCATTCTTACTAAATGACCAAACCACTTCATTCTCTGTCTTTCAATATGTTCCATGCATGCTCTTGTTCCAACTTTGTCTCTAATGCTGATGTTTGTGACTCTGTCTCTTCGTGTATTTTTGGTGACTCTTCGGAGACATCGCATTTCACATGTAGTTATTTTTTGCATATGTGATTTGTTCATTGTCCACGTTTGGCACTGATAACATAACGTAGGGATGAAAATGCTGTTGATCATCCGTTGTTTGGCTGGTAATGAGATCTTTGGATGACGAAGAAGTGGGGCCAGTTGGTAGTTGACTGCATTGGCTTTCTGAACTCTAGCCTGTATCTCTTTATCGAGTCTTCCATCTTCTGTAAATATGCATCCTAAGTACTTGAATTCTTGAACTTGTTTAAAATATTTGTTTTGTGCCTCTCGCGTGATTTGAGTGACAGTTTTCTGGATCTTCTGGCCGTATTCAGCCACTCCATCTATCCATTTTTTCCTGGGTCTTCCTCTGGCCTTTCTTCCCGATGTTCTATTGTAAAAGGCCTTATAGGCAATCTGATCCGGTTGCATTCTTACTAAATGACCAAACCACTTCATTCTCTGTCTTTCAATATGTTCCATGCATGCTCTTGTTCCAACTTTGTCTCTAATGCTGACGTTTGTGACTCTGTCTCTTCGTGTATTTTTGGTGACTCTTCGGAGACATCGCATTTCACATGTAGTTATTTTTTGCATATGTGATTTGTTCATTGTCCACGTTTGGCACTGATAACATAACGTAGGGATGAAAATGCTGTTGATCATCCGTTGTTTGGCTGGTAATGAGATCTTTGGATGACGAAGAAGTGGGGCCAGTTGGTAGTTCTGCATTGTCCACGTTTGGCACTGATATGCATAACTTTCTGAAATGCTGTATGCTGTTGATCATCCCACGTTTGTTTGGCTGGTAATTGAATGATCTTTGGATGACGAAGAAGTGGGGCCAGTTGGTAGTTGACTGCATTGGCTTTCTGAACTCTAGCCTGTATCTCTTTATCGAGTCTTCCATCTTCTGTAAATATGCATCCTAAGTACTTGAATTCTTGAACTTGTTCTAATTGTATGTCATTGATCTTTGTGTTTACATTACTGTGTTAAATATCAACACTGAGAAATTAAGAAAATGTAACTATTCCACATCATTCATTGGGAGCTGCCTTGGTATGGAGTAGGGCTATTCAACCAAGTTTACTCAAGTGCCAACAGTTTTGAAAATGGGGATCATGGCGGGGCAGAGGCTTGAGCCCCAGCATAGAAAGAGCTTTAGTATGATATAACTGGTAATGATCCGAGCTACTTGCTAAGCCTCGCAGACCATATCTGGCCCGCAGGCCGCCAGTTGTATAGCCTTGGTAAAGAGGCTAGACTCTTGCTTGCGGATCTGAAGATTGTGGGTTCAGGTCTTAATAGAGCCAGACTTTTTTTTTTAATGATCTTGGCTCCCAGGTCAAACCAGTCTTAAATGGCTACCTGGTAAGTCCTGGGAAGTAAAGGCATCCACTGAGTGAGGACTGGTCTATAAAATACAGGTCTATCCCTATATGCCCAAAATGCCTGTAGGTCTGGAAAAGGGTCCTTTATCTTATATCAATTATTAATGACTGATACATTCTTTTCATAGGTAGTTATTTTCTGGCTCCGTGATCTATTCATTGTCCATGTTTGGCACTTATAGCCTAATATGGAGATGAGAATGTTATTGATCATTTTTAATTTTGCTGGGAGACGTGCGGGTGTCTGAGCAGTAGGGCTGGCTGAAATATGACCGCACTTAGCCTTCTGTGACTGTTGATGTTTCCCTGTCAAGTCTATAATTTTCTGTAATATGCTTTCTATGTATTTGAATTCCTGCACTTGTTTGATTTTAGTCTGATTTGAGCATTTATGTCATTTTGTTAGCTACCTATTGTCATTTCTTTTTTTTTTTTAAGTGTATATTTTCACAAGACTCACTGTGTAAGTAATAATACAAGGGGTCAATAAGGTGTTGTAGGTTCTGTTCTTGTTGTTTTATTAGACACTTCTGGTCTGCAAAAAAGAAGGCCACTGATTGTTCAGTGTATATTTTTCTCCGGTGTAATTATGTACATACAAGTAATAGATAGCAATGGTGACAGGACACATCCTTCTACCATTTCTTCTATTGTTTTTACTGAGCACTGACTACTGTAAAAGAGAAAGAAAAAATAAAATTGCAGAACAGTCGATCCATCGACACTAAAAGCTGTAATAGAGGAAGTAAAAAAAAAAAAGAAGACCCAACAGTCGAGCTTGTATATCATATTCTACAATCTTTTATAGTGTCACATGCAAATTTCACAAGAAACTAAGCCAATAGTTTTTCTTCTTCTTTCGTTCGCTTGAAATAAATTATCTATATCTGCAATGTTGTCTTTTGTAATTCACTCAGCGACCCGTAAAGTTTGACTTGCACCGATGTTTCTCTTTGCTAAAAGTTTTGCCTTGATATGTTGTATTTGGGACAGTCTTGGAGGACATGATTAAGCCAACACTAAATGCTCAAGGACAATGTAATCTGTTGTTGTGTACTGACAAATAAAAACGAACATATTGTCAGATCAGCTCCAAGTTTTTATTTTGCAATAAATAGTTGGGTGGAACAGGACGTGTGAAACTGCCTCTGGATGCCGCAGCAGATTTAACCTGTTGTGCTAGGACGTCAACTGTCATGTCTGTTTTGTGCACAAATAATTAACAAAGGAGCGAAGTTGTCCTGTCAGCGTTTCTGCTGGATATTTCTAAATTTATTATATATTTTTTCATGTCATCATTTCTGCTGGATGAAAGACATTGAAGAATCATTACAGAGTTTTCAGGGTCAAGACGATGATTCTAAAGCTGCCGATATATGTGGATCCAAATTTCTTAGAGAGCTAATGTCAGGTTGTATAATATTAATGTTTCTTCAAGTTCGTTGTTACCATTGCCCAGTTGTTCCCAGTGGCATTTTGGATGTTTCGGATCGTTCCGGCAGGACCTTTTCTCGCCGTTCATGGCAAAAATCCTCCATTTTGTTACCCGCTAGACTTAGTCCTGTCATGCATCTATACCGGAGGTTCATTCCACATCTCATACAGTTTGCTTCTTTTGACTCAAAAAATACCTTCTCTTGGTCTATAAACATAAGGTGCTAACTTGTATCATATTCTGCTCCCATATGTGTCTCAGTGTAAACAGTGCATCAGTGTAACTCTCTCTCTACCTGTAACTGAATTGTCTGTTACTTATCTGGAGTTCTAGTACTGGTGTAGCTCTGTGTCCAGTACTTTTTGTAAACACTTTTCCAATATGGCTGAGAGGAAGACGTGTTTATATGTTTCACAATCTTGTTTCTGAGATGGAGATGCCCTTATATGTTTTACAATCTTGTTTCTGAGATGGAGATGTCCTAATATGTTTCACAATCTTGTTTCTGTTTATCTCTTTTATTCTTCCATATGGAGACAATAATTTCCCTCTGCCAGTCTCTCGGACACTTGCATGCCACCCAAGCCATGTCCAAGAGTCGGATCAACCAGGCTAGTGCTGCTCTAATACATACAAGGAGCATTTCTGTTGTAATACCATCTAGAGCCTTGAGTGGGTCCCAAGTAAAGTTCTGTGAAAGGCAGGTGGTGAGATGCTGACCACATGGCTCACCAAGTCAGTGCTGACTGGTCTATCAAACATAGGTCTAGCCCTATTTGCCACACGTCTGAAGGCTTGGAAAAGGGTTCTTTATATAATTGTTTTTTTTTAAACTTTTAATACCATCTACTCCTGCGCCTTGAGCTTTTTATTTTGTTTCGGGGCAATTCTGAATTCTGATTTCAGTATATCTGGTTTGAAGTCTTTTTGCAGATTGTATCTGGCATGGTACTGCATCCTGTGGCCCACAATTTAACACTTCTTTGAGATATTCATTTCATCTTTTGTTGACATCCTGACTGCCTGGTAAGTGGTTCCCTGATTTGGTTGTTAATTAAGGGTTAACTCTTTTGTTCTTCTTCTTCTTAGTGTTCACAAGCTGAAAAATCTGGCAGAAAGTTCTGGTTGTTTGTCCTGTTTTTTACTTTGGTCTTGCTCCAGAACTTGAGTTTTGCAGGCACATATGTTTTATAGATCTACCTTATCTGTATTCAGACTTTTGGTTCCCTGCCTCTCAGACAGATGACTCCGACTGTGACCTAAACACCCCTAATCAGTATAGCCTTTTACAACACGTTGTTGGGGAGGGAGTGGGAAGCACGGGTAGTGTGTGTATTCATACCCCCCCCCCCCCCAAAATTGAACGGGGGGGGGGGGGGGGGGGTTGGAAGAAAATATGAGGAGATGACTTTTGTTTACTCGTTTTTCTGTAAAAGTAACTGATTTATCACTGCCAGCTTGCCAGGCCTGTTGCATGGTGGGACAAGAAAAACATCTTGCTCTGGTTGGTACTTGTCTTTTTCCAGGGAGGACATTCAGCGTTAGCCTGAAACAAGGCCTGTACTGTAAGCCAATTTTTGGATACAGGTTTTTGTTGGCCTGTCACTTCTCCCCTTTCCCTGTACAGTTTGATTGGCTTCTAAATATACATTAGTAAGACTTAGACTAAAGTTTCTGCTCAGCGAATCTCAAGAGAAAGATAGCCACCATAAAGGTTGTGTGGAGATTTAGGTGAAGCTGACCACTTGCGGAGAACCAAATAGCAGTTTGATTTGTAGATATATATATCTACACACACATTTTTACACACACACACACACACACAGACAAACATACATACACACACCACAACCACACATGAAATCAGTTGATTTTAACTCAATTGCTAACCTTGGTCAGTCTTTCTCCCTCAAAGTTCACCTCCGCATACCCAGAGGTCAAGATGCCGAGAGTCACCAGCGGGATCAGGAACTGACTAATGCCGGAGAGTTGGGCCGTGTGACTGGTCCAGTAGACAATCAACAAAGCACACCACAACATGACAAATGTGACCCAGTTAGCGATCCAGCGCTGCACCAGACGAGATGTGGCAGAGAAGCGACGCTGAAGACACAAGTTTACATAGGTTTGTGCTTATCATGTATTATCAGCAATAGTCTCCTAAAGGTCTGAACATCGTAAATCAAAAATGACAAAATGAAAAAAAATATATATATAATAAGAATCAACACTGGGAAAAAACCATAAGTTGCAAGTGTTGTTGGCAATGAAAGAGCTGATGGACCAGCAGGTTCAGCATTAATTGAAGATGGCCGGCCCATAGATCACGCAGAAATTATCAATGAAATTAGAGAGATAGGACGTTCTGAGGATTTTGGATGCAACATGTCCACATCACTGCTAAGAAAATGAGAATTAGGAGTATAAGATTGGCACAGTCAACCAGGAGAGGCACACCAGATGCACAGGAAGTCTTGTTAACCAGCTTGGACTGGCACTATTAACCGCATGAGGCTGATGAATATGCTGAAGTGGAAATCTGACCACCGATGAATGTGTCCAGAGGGCTGTAAAAATCATCTAACTAACTCATGACAATATGAAACAAAACAAAAACAAAAAACTATCCATTGTTGAAATCAATCCCTAGTATTCAAGGACTGTGGTATTGTTAAATGCATTCACTAACCACTAAGCAAAAGATCCGTGGAATATATTAATGTTACAAATGTTAGCATTCACCAGCTGTAAACTTCAGCAGAAAGTTTGGGGTGTTTGTCCACTCCTAGACTTTAGTCTTGGTCCAGAACTCACATTTTGTGTCCACATCAGTTTTACAAATCTGGCTAATTTGTGTGCAGACTGCTGTTTCCTTGCCTCTCAGGCAGATTCACTTTGACTTTAAAGAAAACACCCTAATCAGTCACCTCCTAAAACATGTAGGCCTTGCACCTTTGTGTTGGTTTCGGCAGTGGTATCGAGAAGCTGACAATCCAAAAAGCAATGGCAAACTACTGGACGTAAACTTGCATAGAAAAACCACAACAGCCAAAATGTATTGGGTTGGGTACTACAACGTCCTGTAAAGGATACCCACATAACTTTTAACTTTTACAACATGTTAGCTGGTTGGGTGAAAAAGTGGGGGGGGGGGGGGGGGGGGCAAGAACTATTCTTTGTTCTCTAAAATGGGGGTGGGGGGCCTGAATCCACACAGGGAAAACCAGGTTCTGAAAGGTCTATTCTTCTTCTTCTTCTTCTCTGATTAACTCAGCAATGTGTTGGAGACAGGGGTGTTTTCATTACTCTAAGAATGTTCATCATGTTGTCACAGCATCCCAATCACATCATTTTCTATATGCCTGTTTGTTTAAATTTTGTTTAAACCCTACAACAACATACAACAACCACTCACGAGTAGCTGGAAGTACGCAAACAGAAGATCTTCATTTGTCATTATCGGAGGGTTCATTTCACTGAGAACTGATTTCTTTCGGTCCTCTCTAGGTGACTTGGGGAGCTTCTTTTTCTTGTCCTCATTTGTATCAGGAGATGACTTCTTTGGAGAAGCTGACTGCACATTTGGCTTGTCACTGCTGTTTAATGTGTCATGTTCAACAGTAACTGGTTGCATCTGGATAGTTCCATCAAATATGTTGACGACTGGTGTGGTCTCCTTGCTATTTTCAGTATCTGCGTACTGGCAGGACAAAAAATGTAACAATAATTAGTCTATTTATGGGGTCAATGGTCTTATTTTAGGACAAGTGCCGAAATTTAAGTATCTGGGCACATGGATAACATCAGATGGAAGATGCATTACTGAGATAAGAAACAGAATAGGACAGACAAAAACTGCATTCTATAAAATGAAGAACATCTTATGCAATATATCTTTGTCATTGAGGGTTAGAAATGGAATAACATATGGCTGTGAGTCCTTGACAATCAATAGGCAGGCCAAACAATTTCTTGAGGCCTCAGAGATGTGGTTTTACAGAAGAATGCTTAAAATACCTTGGACAATTCAATATAATCTATTCATGAAGTGCTGCCTCAGAATCTATCTAACACACAAGGTTACCCTATGCTATGTTACTCTATTTATGCAGGGCTGCCTCAGAATCAATCCCCAAAAAATATTCATGAGTTGTACTTTGGAACCAATCTAATATAATCTATCCATGGAGTACTACTTCCCAAACAACCTAAAATAACTAAAATAATCTATTCTTGGTGTACTGCTTCACAAACAACCTAAAATAACTAAAATAATCTATTCTTGGAGTACTCTTTCACAATCAACCTGAAATAACTAAAATAATCTATTCATGGAGTACTGCTTCACAATCAACCTAAAATAACTAAAATAATCTATTCATGGAGTACTGCTTCACAATCAACCTAAAATAACTAAAATAATCTATTCATGGAGTACTGCTTCACAATCAACCTAAAATAACTAAAATAATCTATTCATGGAGTACTGCTTCACAATCAACCTAAAATAACTAAAATAATCTATTCATGGAGTAATGCTTCAAAATCAACCTAAAATAACTAAAATTATCTATTCATGGAGTACTGCTTCACAATCAACCTAAAATAACTAAAATAATCTATTCATGGAGTACTGTTTCACAATCAACCTAAAATAACCAAAATAATCTATTCTTGGAGTGCTGCCTCAGAATTTTATCACAAACTAGCTGTACCCGGCCACGCGTTGCTGTGGCATAGTTTGGCTAAATGGAAATGAAAGAAAACAGAAAACGCACGTGTCTAATACAATCATTGTCTGCTCAGATATAGAGATAGTCTTTGATCCCCGCCCACCACCACAACTAAATCCACCTACTACTATCTCCCTCATCAAAGGTTTTTGGAAAAGAAAGACAATGGAAATCGCACGTGTCTAATACAGTTAATGTCGCAATCATTCTCTGCACGGATATAGCGATAGTCTGGTTTTCCAACTTTAGAACACGCACCTTATAATTGTGTCTTTGTATTAGTGGTCGTTTAAATGGTGTTATTAGCACAGTAACAAAAATTGTTATTTGGTTATCACATGCTAAAGCTGTTTGTATTTTTATAGGGGACGGAAGTAAAGCTACAACTGTACTTGTGAATAACAAAGTAAGTCGTAAAAAATAGAAAAGCGGAGGTAGCGTTAGTAAAATATAAAAAAATTAGGTAATGAGAACTTGAAAATCAAGTGTAAAGCTCTTTAATTTCTCTTAAATTTAAGTCATTACCCCCTCTCCTCTTCCACCGACTACTGCTCTCTCCCTCTTCGAAGGATTTGAAAATCACTAACTGGCGATATTTTGTTGTTGCTGTAACTGACATTGACATCCCTGTCCATCTGGACTAAAATAGAGAGCAGGAATTGTAAAAGGTAGTGAATAGGGCTAGTGTAATATTTACCACATCATCCTTCAAGTACCAGTACAACTACTAAAATAATGTCACTGCTATCTGTGTTACCATCGGAGTAGACAGAGAGTCGGGAACCAGAAGATTTGGTTCCGCATGGCTAGTGCTGTCGCCACAGACTGGTCAGGTTAGGATGTATAATTTCACTTGCCGACAGAAGAACGCCATAACCTTACCGGCGGTCTTCACATGAGAGCACTATGGTGTAACAGCCCTGGTGTAACAACTATTACTGCTGCTGCTACTTTAAGTGGGTAAAGCAGTTACTGTGACTTAAAGCTCTCTCAGTTAATAGTTTCCCCCCCCCCCCTCCCCCCAAATTCACCGACAACTCTTTCCCTCATTGAAGTAGTTGGGAGAAAAAAAAAACACTTGAAAAGCAAACGAACACAGGAAAAAAACACCATAATTAGGAAGTGAACGCCATTGTAAACAGCACAGCTTAAAATTCCAACACAGATGAAATAACTAAATCTAAATGAAAATAAATGAAAATCTTTAAAATTTCAGCGTAACCATGCAATCAGAAAGTTTAACAATGCAATCATAAGTATGCGAAATGGTCAAATTTAATTATCAAATGGTTTACCCATTTACTTGTTTTTTTTTTTTTTAATATTAAGGCAACATGGCTAGTGCTGTCACCACGACAGAGCAGATGAGGATATTATTTTAGTCCGGGGTAAAAAAAATTTAACGACTGCGGATTCGAACCCAGGTCTACCGCACATGAACCCAGTGTTCTAACCATTCGACCCAGCAGCCACTTAATCGGAACAACGAAAAGAGAACTCAACTATTAGACATGTGAGTTCCTACTACTGTGTCGCGATTAAAACAAAATTCAAAAACGCAGGCAATTGTTTTCTCGTAGACAGATACTCCAGATATATTAATGAAAAAGAAATCGCACGTGTCTAACACGGTTAATGAAGTTAATGTCGCAGTCACTGTCTGCGCCGACGTCGAGATAGTCCTTGATTGCCCCCCCCCCCCCATCGAAGGTTGTTTGAAAAAAAACCAGAAAATATAAATTGTGTTTAATATGGTTATTGTGGCAAATATAGAGATAGTCTTGTTTGCTGTACCACGACCTACTCTATGTATTAGTATTAGAGAAGGCGTTGGCTGCACGTAACTCGCCGGCGAATGGTAAATACGGCGCATGCGCAATTACTAACGTGGCTATAATTAGAAATCACTAAAGTTATAAATATTAGTTGCGTATATTTTGGCATAAATTGTGGTCACCTATCTCTAACAGTGACAGGTTGAATTTCAAACCACGACAGTTCAAAATCCGGTATCAAAACAAACATATCCTGAAAATTTCAGCTAAATCGGTTCAGTAGTTTCCGAGTCTATAGGGAGCAAACAAACACACAAACATTGATTTTTATATTTTTAGATAATCTATTGATCATGTGCAACCTCAGAATCAATCTAACATGCTGCTTTTCCGTGCCATACAATTCACAATTTTAACTTAGCATCATGAAGAAGTTTTCAAATTTGTGGACAAACAAATATTCCCTCCCTTATTTTAGCTTCACCCAGTCTTAGAAATTTTCCAATGAGATATTTGTTATCCTCAAATCTGTTTTTCCATTGCCTTGCAGTTCCTATACACAGAAATTCTGACATCATGTGCCAGTAAATTCCACTGTTGCAAGCTGGAGCCTAATAGCTCCACACTGTTCTTTAATAAATTCAGATCTATTATAGAATCATTCGGTTCACTTTGGGTTATTAAGTTTGGATTAGTGGATGTAATTTCCTCCAAATCTGGGTCAACTGAGGCTGAGGACCACCCCTGCACTCTTCTTCATCAGCGGAAGGAGACGAAAATTATTCTGGCCTTTGGGAACTGGCAGGTCCTCACCATATGGTACTGGACATTGCAGAGAGGGTGTATGGATATTCCAGAGTCCATTGCTTTCTTCTTTGATATGCCTTTCCCAAAAGAAGACACCATGCAAAAGTAACAGTTGTTGAGATGATCAGTGGGCTGTCTCTAAATCACTGCGACTGGGAAAGGCATGGCTTGCAGCATATGTGTGGCGTCCAACTCTTATTTTCATCTCCTTTTCTACAGCCAAATTACAAACTGCATACCTTCTTTATCACTTTAGTTATATTTCATTTTTATGACAGGAATATCACTTCACCACATATACAACAGACATTAATAGCACTGTTCACACATTTCATAGGCATTTCTTACTACAATACTTCTGATAAGGACAAATGCACTAACTAGCGGCACGATTTTACCAGAGATAAGATATTTATACTAAAAGGTGATGCACCATAGGCAGGATTGCATCATCAACTTCTTGTTACATTATTATTGGTTAGTAGGGAACAAAATTAGAGAGACAATCACATACAATAGTTGCATCATACACATGAACCGATTGTATTTAAACAATCTAGCTGCATCATCATTATGTAACAGATCCTTTGCAAAACGTCGCTCTTATCACAGTCTGCCTGAAAGAAACTCGGTCTCTCACCAATTCTCCCTCCCCATGCACTTTCATACTCAAGGAGTCACTTATATCCTGTGCTCATCTTCGTGTCGGTCGGCCCCTGCCCCTCCTTCCTGGTACCATGTCTTCTGCTACCATTTTTTCAAACCTGTCGTGAAGCTTGATATGACCAAAATATTTCAGCTTCTGAGACAGGATGCTGTTTATTAGCCAATCTTCCTTGATATTTAGATCTTTCAAGATGTCAGTATTTCTCCTCTTTTTTGACCTAGATATTCTGAGAATCCTAGCATACATCTTGAAAACTAGAATCAATTTTTTTAAGATTCCTTTTCATTTTTGGCACACCAAAATTAGTTAAGATCAGCTGTTTTCATTTCTGAAACATTTTGGTTGACTAGTGTAATCTCTTCATTGAGTACTACTTCATAATCTATCAAACAAACAGTCTATTCATGATGAGAACCAATCTAACAATCTGAGAACCAATCTAACAAAAATCTTTTTCTTCTTCTTCAGCATCTGAGTTCTTGAGGTTCACTGCTGCAGATATCATCTGCCTCCATTCATCTCTCAGACCAGCATTCACTTCCCACTTCATGACACCAAGTGCTTGCCAGCCTGTCTAGATATCAACTTCCAACTGCCTTCTTGGGCTGCCTCTCTAACAAACATAAGCATACAAATCAAGTCACTGACTGATGCTGGTTCTGCCCCATATTCAGCAACATACAGCCCAATGCCAGGGAGATGTCTTTCACTTTTTTCATCAAGTATCATAGGAAGAACTTTGCAAACATTTCTCTAGTATGACTGAGGGGGAAAGGCCCTTTCATGTTTCATAATCTCTCCTATCTACTCCTCGCCCTTACATGTTTCATAATCTTTCCTATCTACTCCTCGCCCTTACATGTTTCATAATCTCTCCTATCTACTCCTCGCCCTTACATGTTTCATAATCTTTCCTATCTACTCCTCGCCCTTACATGTTTCATAATCTCTCCTATCTACTCCTCGCCCTTACATGTTTCATAATCTTTCTTATCTACTCCTCCATTAAAAAAAACCCAAAACCGGTCAAGTCAATGTCCCTTGAGTGACTCATGAGGCTAGACTCATATTTGTACAGACCATCTGGTCTCAATGGGTGATGTGGTCAACATCATGCTGGCTGCCTTTACTTCCCAGGACTTTACCTGATGCCAATTTAAGGCTAGGTCAACCTGGGAGCCAAGGTCATGTTTGAGAAAAAATCCAGCACCAGCAGATGTGAACCCTAACCCTACACCAGGGCAGCTACTCTTTCATAAGGAGATAACAATTTCTCTCTGCCAATTCCTTATGAACTTCAAGGCCAGCTAAGCCATGTTCAGGAGTCAGATCAGCCAGACCAGTGCTGCTGTCTAGCATGCAGGGAGTATTTATGTTGTATTATCATCTATTCCTGTCAACTAATTATTTATTTTTTTGTCAAAGAGTGTCACCGGCATCAGACCATTTTCCTCAAGAAAGCCCTTCTGTTCTTGAATCAGCTAATCTTAACTCTTTGAGTCCCAAAGGAACGCATCATACGTTCATAGATTCCTACCTACAAGCCCAATGAACGCAAGATGCGCTGATTTTACGTCTCTCTTGACTACCCCTTGGGCCTGTGATGCTAAACCCCCTTGGACTCAAAGAGTTAAATGTAGAAAATGTGTTGCTGCAGTTTAACAAGATGCCCAAAAAAAAATTTGATTTTCTCTAAATGTTTGGCACAAAGGATTGTCCCTACAATCTGTCTGACAGAATCATTTCTCAGCTAGGTCTGGATGGTTAAGCTGGAGACTTTCCTCTGGCATCTCATGCAGCGGCACAGCGGGGTACTCAAGAGTTCACAACTGCGTACATACTCAGGGACTCAATGAATAAACTCCAGATAATCCATGTCTGTCTTTCTGTCCCGAAACCACCTCAGTGATTTCAAAATTTATTAAGTTTAACAATTTCTTTGTTCAATAAAAAGACATAGGATTATATTTACCATCCACTAGGCCCAAATACTTAAATTTGTTTCCAGGTCTCAGACCGGACAAAGAGACTTGCACTGGCTGGGAAAAACCTGGTAAGACTACATGCCAGTCCACCTGGCAAAACAGGTGTCAACAGAAATCTTACATAGCAGGCAAGTTCTGCCCTCTCTACTACCTGCCAACTCAGGGGAATTAACCTTGAAAAGGAGGAAAGTCCAGACCTGATGGCTCCAGTGGGGAAAAAAATAAACTTTGGTTGGTTTTTCACATGTTTTACTGACACTTAAATGGTCCCATTTAAGTGTGCTGGATCACAAAGGGGGCAGTCATTAACTGACTGATAGCTAAAAATATTCATAACTAGTATGTAGGTACCTCAGGGGTGGGACTTAAAACCTCTCCGGAAGGAAAGAATGTTTTACAAAAAAAAAGGGAGGAGCTAAATTTTGCTAAATGAGATATGGGAAATAGTGAAAGAGCTATACCCTGTGTGGGTTCCGGGGCCATATTGTGGGGAAAACAAGAATAGACCAACAGTCTGCATTCAAGTGAATGAGAAATGTAAAATTGATGCACAAGTAACATTCAGAGCAGGACTGCAGTCCAGAAGTAGACAAATAACCAGAACTTTTCGCCAGAGTGTACAGCTGATGATAGCAAAGAAGAAGAAGAAGTGAAAGGGCTATGAGTCTAGAAAGCAATTCAGACTGCTGCCATAATGCTATCGACTAAGAATTATAGTAGAAAGTCACCCTAGCTGTGCGAATCTCATTTGGGAAACTGCTGGATTTCCCCCATGTAATACGAATATTATTTTCATTATTTTATTCATCTGTTAGGTGAGCATTCTGTGAGCATTCAGCTATCTCATTTAGGGAGCTGTGCAGCTACTGAGGGGAAGATCGGAGCAAGTATGGATCTGTCCAGAGGGCCATGATGGTAGTCCTCAGTAATCACTTTCTTACCGCAAACAAACAATGAATAAGAGAAATCAGTGTACCTCATCCTCCTCTGCCCAGGAACTGAAAGGGGCCTCATCCCTGCTACGTGCTTTCTGAGTAATGTCTTGCAGGTTAAGACTAGAAGCTAAAATAAATTTTAAAAATATTTATTGGCATTTTTAATGAATGTAAATTACAAAATACAATGTAATTATTAAAGGTGCAATGGATGAAATATAACTAAAAGGTCCATGCACTGGAACTTACAGAGCAAAAGAAATAAGGGGGGAGGGGGTGACATACAAAGAAAAGATAACTATAGAGGTGGTATAAGTAAAAAAGTAAAGGACCCTTTCCACGCCTTTAGGCGTATAGGGCATATAGGGCTAGACCTATATTTTTATAGACCAACGGCACAAGATGGGTGATGTGGTCAGCATCACGCCAGCCGCCTCTACTTCCCGGGACTGCACCCGGTACCCACTCAAGGCTGGGTCGACCTGGGAGCCAAGGTCATTTTTGAAGAAAAGTACGTCTCCACCAGGGAGCGAACCCACGACCTTCCGATCCGCAGGCGCGCGTCTAGCCGCTCTGCCACGGCGACTCCCATAGAGGTGGTATATGAGGTAGTAATTCCCACATTTTTGTCAGTGTGTGACAAGAGGATATCAGTCTGAAGATTGAGAGCCATACAGTTAGTGCAGTCACCATCTACTGTGCAGGCTGGGATTTCCATTTCTGCCCCCGACAGGGAAAAAATCCACCACATTACTAAGGATCTGAATCCACATGACAGTGCAGTGTTCTAACCTCTAAACCACTCACTCTTCTGCATAGTATGACAATGGATAAGTTTGCCAAGTGCTTCACACAAAGCACACAGTCCGAAGCTCCAGCAACTATCATCCCACACCACCCCCTTCCCCCCCCCCCCCCCCCCCCCCCCCCCCCCAAAAAAAATTGCAGTCAATAACTAAATGATAAAGTCCACAAATAAATCCATAATCTCCAGTGAGCAATGAAAAAAAAAAAAAACAGCCTGACCACAGAGAACTCCACCATGACCATCATCATCATCATCATAACTATCATCCTACTGTACCATAAACTGCAAAAGGGCCTCCATTCAACTGTGTCCCATGCAGTTTTTTTCATCACGGACAGAATCCAATTTAGCACCTTTGCCTTCTCTCATCAACTATCATCTTAGCCACTTTAATTATCACTGAAACAAATATAAGAGAAGAGCTAAGTGTCTACTAAGATTGTGCTGGGAAGAGCTGAGTGTCTACTAAGATTGTGCAGAGAAGAGCTGAGTGTCTACCAAGATTGTGCTGAGAAGAGCTGAGTGTCTACTAAGATTGTGCTGAGAAGAGCTGTCTACCAAGATTGTGCTGAGTGTCTACTAAGATTGTGCTGAGAAGAGCTGAGTGTCTACTAAGATTGTGCTGAGAAGAGCTGAGTGTCTACCAAGATTGTGCTGAGAAGAGCTGAGTGTCTACCAAGATTGTGCTGAGAAGAGCTGAGTGTCTACCAAGATTGTGCTGAGAAGAGCTGAGTGTCTACCAAGATTGTGCTGAGAAGTGCTGAGTGTCTACCAAGATTGTGCTGAGAAGAGCTGAGTGTCTACTAAGATTGTGCTGAGAAGAGCTGAGTGTCTACCAAGATTGTGCTGAGAAGAGCTGAGTGTCTACCAAGATTGTGCTGAGAAGAGCTGATTGTCTACTAAGATTGTGCTGAGAAGAGCTGTCTACCAAGATTGTGCTGAGAAGAGCTGAGTGTCTACTAAGATTGTGCTGAGAAGAGCTGTCTACCAAGATTGTGCTGAGAAGAGCTGAGTGTCTACCAAGATTGTGCTGAGAAGAGCTGATTGTCTACTAAGATTGTGCTGAGAAGAGCTGAGTGTCTACCAAGATTGTGCTGAGAAGAGCTGAGTGTCTACTAAGATTGTGCTGAGAAGAGCTGTCTACCAAGATTGTGCTGAGAAGAGCTGAGTGTCTACCAAGATTGTGCTGAGAAGAGCTGAGTGTCTACTAAGATTGTGCTGAGAAGAGCTGAGTGTCTACTAAGATTGTGCTGAGAAGAGCATGGCAGGAGACATTATTGTTAGGAAGAAGAGTCCCCTTCAAATAAAACTTCAGTAATTTGAAATCCTGGTGTGTTTTTTTCCTTTCATTTTTTTTTCTATTTTCCCTGTTTAGACCTGGTTGAGGTTTACCAGTTTGGCTTTCACTTAAACTTTGTCCTAAAAAAACTCAGCTTCTGCCTTACCCTCAGAATGTTTCGGTCATTCCACACAATGCTACTGGATTGTAAATAAAGTAAAGTAAAGGTCCCTTTTCCAGGCCTTTAGACGTATAGGGCATATAGGGTTAGACCTATATTTTTATAGACCAATAGGCACAAAATGGGTGATGTGGTCAGCATCATGCTGGCCGTCTTTACTTCCTGGGACTGCACCCGGTACCCACTCAAGACTGGGTCGACCTAGGATTCAAGGTCATTTTGCAATTGGATTGTTCCAGGATTAATTGTTTGTTCACCGGTTTTTTTTCAATTGCAACAGTGAGGGACATTTCATTTGATTTGCACTGGCACAAGAACGGAGCAAGTGTGGGGAAATCCGATGGCAGGGAAGTTGAAACCTTAACTAACAGTAAGACTAAGGCAATGCTATCATGGATTGTCTGTGCTTTGTTGGGGGTGAAACTTCACTACAAAGTTTCTGACATCCATCCATTTGGCAAACATTTTCTGGATTAATGAGAGAGGTCAAGAAGGGTAGTGTGTGCAGTGTGGTGACTCATTCTGACTCATACAAGGTCTATCATGCAAGTCATATTCCAAAAAAGGTTGTATTCCAAGTAAAGGTTGTATTCCAATTAAAGGTTGTATTCCAAACATAAGGCTGTATACCCAGTACATTTTTTAGTCTAAACAGGACTTATCCCAAAGTGGGCGTATACCGAGGCAAATCTGTATAGATAAATATAGGACTCTCCCACCATATGGTTCACTGAGAACATGATGCCACCTCATATATTTTAGACCCAAAAAAACATTTGGTCAGTGATGACAATGATGTTACACCACCCACTTTTACTTCCCAGGTCATTTCCTGGCGGACATTTTTAGATCAGAAATAAAGTTTTAAAAATTCCTTTCTGGATGGAGATTTCTTCTTCGTCTTCTTCGCATTCACCGGCTGTAAACTCCAGCGGAAAGTTTTATTTATTTGTAAATTTGTAAGTTTGTTCCAGAACTTGAGTGTTTCATGCACATCCATTTCACAGATCTGCCTTATATACATGCAGATTGTCGGTTCCCTGCTTCTCAGGCAGATATGCTCAGTCTTATAAAAAAAAAAAACCTCAATAAGCTGACTTTTACAAGATGCTTGTTAAAAGGCGGTAGGTCTATTCTTTCATCCCCAACAATGCGGCCAGGGAGATTTTGAACACAGCACAGATCAAGTAAAGAGATGGACAATGTTCATGTCAATGGCGCACTGGGCATTTGATGTCAGGCTCATACTTCCTTAGACTAATCAACATTCTATGAGTGATGTGATCAATATCACACTGGCTGCCTTTACTTCCCAGGACAATTCTGGGCACCCATTTTAGGCTGGGTCAACTTGAGAGTCATAGGTCACTTAAATCTGCCTTTATACAGATTCAAACCCAAGACAAAAAAGCCAAAAGAATAATAATTTACATTTGGCTCTTCTGAATACTCATTCAGGTTTTGGGTAAGAGGTGTAGACATGTTGTAGGGTTTTTGATTGCAGTAATAGGCGCTTACATATATATAAATATATATAATCTCTCTCTCTCCCTGGGAGTCGCCATAGCATAGCGGTGAGATGCTTGTGTACGGATCACAAGGTCCTAGGTTCACTCCCTGGCAGAGTCAGACTTTTTTTCAAAAATGACCTTGACTCCCAGATCGACCTAGCCTTGAAGCTAGTCCCAGGAAGTAAAGGCGGCGGGGGTGATGCTGAACCACTTCACCTATCTTATGTCGATTGGTCTATTAAAATACAGGTCTAGCCCTATATGCCCTAATTGTCTAAAGGTGGAAAAGGGACCTTTACTTTACTTATATATCTCTCTCTCTCTTTTTTGTATAATCACTTCCTCCAACACCCAAACAAAGCTTACCAATATCATTCTCCAGCTGATCCCGTGTGCTGAACCATAAGAACCTCAGAGAGTGCAGCAGTTGAGCATTTGGCGGAAGATCACCGGCAGTGTCTGTCTCATGATTGGCCTCAACAATATCATCATCCCAGATATTGGTGTCTGAGGAACATTGAAGACAGTGTCCAGAAAATTTTCTTCCCTTGCCCTCTATCCCCCAAAAGGCCCTCAACCAACTCATGCCAAGTCATCCTAACATTTGCTATTGCTTGCAGCTCACCCTTAACCCCATCCCCATCTTTTCCACTTCACTTTCTATTTTCTTTCTCCCTGTGTATTTTTTAACCTGCCTTTATTGCTCTAATCCTGTGCATTCTGGGACAAAGACATTTTAATTGTACAGTTCTCAGGTTTTCTCAACATCTGTCCTATTCAAAGCCAGCATCTTTTTCTCACCTCTTGATTCACTGGAATTTGTTTAGTTAGAATCAATGTGTCAACTGATAACATTGGAAAGTAGAAATGCTCAGCTTTACGGGAAGACAAATTACATTAAACAGAATGTACAATGTAACCAAAAACACTATTTAGAATCATGATTTTGGAATTTGGATTTGTGCCCTGTGTTGAAATTGTGCGCATGTGCAGTTTTTGAGAGAAGACTGAAGATGTGATCATTTACCATAATTTCACCTCTGTCAAACCCACATATAAAGGCACATTGCCTACTCTCATATGACAGTCTGAGGTTAAATAAAGAAGAAAAGTGTTGACAGTCTGGCATGAAAGGTTACATGTGCCCTACCTCAGAATGAAATCCTGGACCCAAGGACATTTTAAAGGAATGGAAGGAGGCAGAAATAGTCCCCATAGCCAAAAGAGGAAAGCCCAAGGAAAACTAATTCATTTACCGCCTCATAAGCCTCCTAAGTTGCCTTGGAAAAACCATGGAAAGATTGTTGAACAATATTTACTTAATTTCTTGGAAGAAAAGAAGATATTAAATGACTGCCTGCCAATCAGGCTTCAGGAAATGTAGAAGCACTGATGACCAAACCTCTTATCTCGCACAGGAAATTGAAGATGCTTTCCAGAAAAAATAGAAACTGCTAGCTACTTTCTTGGACCTAACCAAAGCCTTTGACAAGGTCTGGAAGAAAAGACTCTTGCTAAAACTAGCACACAACAGGATAACAAGAGCAAGGTGGTCAGAATACAAGATGGTGTCCCTCAGGGAGGTGTTAAATCTGTTACCCTGTTTATTCTTTTCATTAATGACCTCCCCAAACAGTTCACTACTCTGACTCACAAGGCACTATACGCAGATGACCTGACCATTTGGACCCAAGTTGAACATATAGGAACAACTAAAACAAGAATGTAGAATGCTATAAAAACAGTTAAGAAATGGACAAACTCTTGGGGAGCTGCAATAAACCAAACAAAAATTGTCTCAACTCTTTTCTCAGTTTCCATAATGCCAGAGCAAGTTATCTGTACCCAGAAGGCATTATCATTCCAAAAGAGGACAACCTCACATTTTTGGGAGTAAAATTCGACAAAAGACTAACCTGGGCATTAAAGACACCCAAAGGAAAGCTACTTATGGAGAAACTTACTACTGGAACAAGCTGTTGCAGATGCCAACACGGTACGACAAGTATACTCAGGATATATATGACCAAATTGGAGTATGGCATGGGAGCATACTCCACTGCAGCCAAATCAAATCTAAACAAAACTAGACAAAATTCAGAACACTGGTCTCATAATCATCACTGGTGGTATGAGAAGCACACCAATCATTAGCTGGAGGCAACTTCTGACATCCAAAGCTTGAGGAAGAAAAGATGCTAACCCTAAAACAAAAATGTAAATGCATGAACAACAACCCCATGCACAGAACAACAAACACCTTAACTAAAAACCGACTGAAAGGACAAAGTTTTCATCATCTATCAAAATTTTTCTGCACCCAAAACAGTGACATCCTTTCTAAAGACCCTTCACATGGGAAATGATCAAGACCCAGAGTCTAACTATACAGTCAGAAACAACAATCCATAGACAGAAAGGCTCCAGACTGTGACCTTGTACTGCATGCAAAGACCCTTGAGCATGTCTACAACTCTTACCCAAAGCCAGAATGGACACAGATATACACTGATGGATCACTGGAGAGAGCAACAAAAAGTGGAGCAGCTGGTTCGGTCATCATGCTGCAAAATGGGACAACAGTGGAAACGCCTTGTGCCTCCAAAGAAAACTCAACAAACTTTAGAGCAGAGCAGCAAGCAATTATTGATGCAATCAAAGTGCTTGACAGAAGTAAAAATTAAAAACAGCAAAATTGTTTTCCTGTATGACTGCATATCAGTCCTCCAGCTACTCAAAGGGATCCACGAGACAATAAGGAGACAGAACTCACCTGCCAGATAAACAGAAACTCAGAAAACACAGACACTTAGAAAACAATCAAATCATTCTCCAGTGGATCCCAGCTCACTGTGGCATAACATGAAATTTGTTAGCAGACAGACTTGCAAAAAATGGAACAAAGGAGAAACAACACACCAAACCATTATCATTATCAGAAACAAACACTTACCAAGGGAAACTGCAAGGAATTGTGGTGAGAACAAACCAACAGTAAACATCCACAAGGCCCCACTAGCAGACTTAAGAAAAAAAACAACAAACAACAATTTTCCGTTTACAAACGGGACACTGCAGACTCAACTACCAGTATGCATTTTAAAAAAAAGACTACACTCCCCATGGTGTGCCTGTCAGACAGGACCACAAACACCTGAACATATTCTGCAGACTTGCCCACTCTACCTACAACTTTAAACAGACACCTGGCCTCAAGAGCAAAGTGTGCAGATCAAGCTATGGGAAACCATGAGGTGAAGGACCTGCAGCTGACATGCGAGTTCACTGAGGCAACCCACCTGGTGGTCTGATCTGAGCATACAAAACCAAATGCAAAAAAGAAGAAGAATTAAATGAAAGCCAGACTGAACAATGAAGAAAAGTGTTGACAATCTGGCATACAAAGCTATCTCTCTCTCTCTCTTTCTCTCTCTCTCTCTCTTGTGTGTGTGTGTGTGTGTATGTGCATCTCTCTCTCTCTCTCTCTCTCTCTCTCTCTCTCTCTCTCTCTCTCTCTCTCTCTCTCTCTCTCTCTCTCTCTCTCTCTCTCTCTCTCTCTCTCCAACCTGAGGATGATGTAAAATCTCCAGCGGGCTGCTGAGTCTTTTGCTGCTCCTCAGATAATGACTGCAAGTACTCAATCTGTTTCTCCAAAGCCTCAATTTTGTAGAACTCCAAATAGATTTTAGAATCATACAGAAGCTCTTTCATGAACTTCCTGATACCTGAAACATACAACTGCCATTAGAGATTTACAACTGCTGGGGTTTGAACAATGAAATACAGAGAAAATGCTGTCCTGTCCATACTTCTTTCTCCACCAACCACTGCAGACATAACCATTCAGTTGGCTCTATTTCCTTTCACACTGATGTGTCCAGGGATTTCTAAAACTTCTTATTTGTGAATCAATTGGGAGGAAAAAAAGAGTCCAAAATTAAACCTACAATCGGCAGAGAGCAAGAATGCAGCTTGTCCACATCACCTTGGAGACCCCTGCAAACAGTTTAGCTTAACCACATCACCATGGAGACCCCTGCAAATAGTTTAGCTTAACCACATCACCATGGAGACCCCTGCAAACAGTTTAGCTTAACCACATCACCATGGAGACCCCTGCAAACAGTTTAGCTTAACCACATCACCATGGAGACCCCTGTAAATAGTTTAGCTTAACCACATCACCATGGAGACCCCTGCAAATAGTTTAGCTTAACCACATTGTAATGGCGGATATTTTCACCCTAATTGGGAAGGTTGGGGGGAAAGCCCCAAGTTAACAATAATACAAAGAGAAGCCAGATACTCAGATTAACTGAGGTTTTCAAGGTAGGGAACGACCAGGTGTTATCCCGGGGAACCCAAGGAGAACGACCACAGGTCCCCACCTGGAACCCAAGAACAACCACATGTTGCCACGTGAAATGAACACTGGGTATAAGTTCAGACCCCAGTCTGATCCGACAGTATGTGTTGACCGTCAGAACGAGAGGACCTGACAGTGTTCGTGCGAGTGAGAACGTGAAACTGATTGTTGCGAGAGGAAGACCAGACGACAACATCCATCGAAGTAAAGTCCAGCCAAAACAGTTGTGTGAAGCTTGATGCAATGACCAGATCCATCTATGCGGCGATCTGGAATTGAAGACGCGGAACCCTGGTTGGTGAATGTGAGGAGTCAGCGTGTTGACATCTGAACAATGTGTTGCGTGATAGCTGTTGATTAGGACATGGTAGAGACAATATATGTAAGTGATTAGATGTCAATAAACAGTCTTGTATCTTGGAGACGGTGTCGGCTTGTCACAGCTATGTCATCTTAGAGTCTATATAAGATCATCCAGTAGAAACATCATCCCCTAGACGACGACATATTGCACACATCACCATGGAGAACCCTGCAAATAGTTTAGCTTAACCACATCCCAATGGAGACCCTTGCAAACAGTTTAGCTTAACCACATCACCAATGAGACCCCTGCAAACAGTTTAGCTTAACCACATCACCATGGAGACCCTTGCAAACAGTTTAGCTTAACCACATCACCAATGAGACCCCTGCAAACAGTTTAGCTTAACCACATCACCAATGAGACCCCTGCAAACAGTTTAGCTTAACCACATCACCAATGAGACCCCTGCAAACAGTTTAGCTTAACCACATCACCAATGAGACCCCTGCAAACAGTTTAGCTTAACCACATCACCATGGAGACTCTTGCAAACAGTTTAGCTTAACCACATCACCATGGAGACCCCTGCAAACAGTTTAGCTTAACTACATCACCAATGAGACCCCTGCAAACAGTTTAGCTTAACCACATCACCAATGAGACCCCTGCAAACAGTTTAGCTTAACCACATCACCAATGAGACCCCTGCAAACAGTTTAGCTTAACCACATCACCATGGAGACCCTTGCAAACAGTTTAGCTTAACCACATCACCATGGAGACCCTTGCAAACAGTTTAGCTTAACCATATCACCATGGAGACCCCTGCAAATAGTTTAATTTCAAAGAATATAAATATAATTTAGAACAAACTACACAGAAGGTTTTGATCAACAAATATTAGTATACACTTACTGATTGTGTGTGTGCGGCAGACAGACAGAAATATGCCCACAACAAGCAAGTTCCACAACAGGCAGAAGCAGGAGTAGACAATCTTTGAACCGAAGTAGACTTTGCACAGGAACACCTAGAAAAGGTTTCATAGTGTTTCAAACAGTCTGTATATATATAACACCGATGTAAACTGTCAAAGGGGTAGTGAAAAGGTATCATTAATTTCAGGCCAGTTGTGTATGTGCAAGCTGGGCATGTGACAACTTTTATTTGCTGAATCAATACAAGGAAATGTCTTGGGAAGTCAAGATCGCTGCAATACCCATCGATAGCCAATTTGTCTTTAAAAATAAAGGTCTAGCACCATATGTATAATGAACAGACCGTGTCCTTTCCCTAAAAATACAATTGGAAGCTTTTTGGGTGCTTTATTAATATCTGACCCCCAATAGGGGAAATCTACAGGACACTGGACAATGTAATATTTCAGGGGGCGGTAGATAGGCTGCATGCAGTTGTGGTACCTAGGCTGCACTCTTTCGTGGGGCGTATGTGGGTTGGGGTTAGGGCCAGTTCTAAATGTTTTGGGGTCGTTAAAAGCATCAGAAAGCCAGGAAGCCCAGTCTTTCTACCCTCTAAAATGTTGAACTCTCATGTGACATCATCTGGGGTAGGATATTAATAAAGAACCGTTTTTTTAATCTTATCTCACTACAGACTACATGCCCCTATAGAAGATAATAGTGTCCTAGGAATACTGTTGATTTCCACCAAGATTTATTATATTTATTGTTATAATTATTTTAAAATGTAGGCATACTTAGAGCATTCTGTTACAATGATGTTGTTAATGATGTCTATTATTATTATTATTATCTGTTAAAATGATATGTGCATGAATAATGTGTGCCTAGAGTGAGGTCAGAAGGGCAGAATGTAAGATGGACCTGTGTGCCCAATTCTTAACCCTTTGAAAATGAAGGTTGTTTGTTTGTTCACTGTTCCATTCACCAATGAATTTTTATAGGTTTCAACTCTTCAATGATTAAACACACACACAAAAACAGACAACAGAATGCTGCTCCTCTTTGGTGCCTGTCAAAATTGGAGCAACAAAACTGTCATTATGACATCACTGTCTTCGTCTACACCAGGGCAATTCAACTAAGTCTACTCTGGGACCAGAATATTGAAAAGAATCATCACGGGCCAGAAGCTCAAGTCCTGACGTAAGAAGATTATCAATATGACACAAGTGGCAATGATATGTGGCCCACTAGCTAGGCCTCTGCAGGCCAGATTCAGCCCAAAGGTCGATAGCTGAATAGCCCTGGTCTATACCCTGATGTCATGTGCTTCACACTCTTGACATCCTTAAAAACAATACTTACAGGTTACAAGACAATAACATAATTATTGTAATTTATGTCATACTTTTAAGGTTTTCATTTAAAGCCTCAAGATAAAAAAAAATTACTTACATTAACCCCCACACTGACACAGTTAGCATCAGAGACCAGAGTGCCATTTGAAGGCATGTGGGTCTCTAACAGATGATGGCTGGAGTATAGGTTGATCACCATGACAGTAACTGACAGCAGCATCACAATGATAGCAGTGTTCACCTGAAGATTGCAGCACATTATCTTATTAACTGATTACCATACATATTATACATGGAGTTCCCCATGTGGGTTTCGTTGGGGGTGGGGGGGGGGGGGGCGGAATACAGACTTACTGCACCTTAACAGGCAAGTCGTAAAAGTCAACTAATGAAAGACTTGCCAAAATCGGATGTGTTGGACCAAAAGACACAGACACTGCAGCCTAGCTGTAAACCACAACACAACATGCCAACTGCCCTTTAAAAGGCAAATGAAGAACAGGAAGATACCCAGAGTATAATTCAAAGAGACAAAGCTTTATCACAAACTATTGAGAAAAGTTTTACAACAAATCTTTAGACCTATCAAAGATGCAAACAGCAGAGAATATAGAGTTTTAAATCACCATCCATTACTAGCATCATATGGCAGATAACTGAAAGATAAAAACTATGTACACAAAAGAGTTGAATGGGAGTAGATGAAAAGATGGTGAACAAATTTGATTAAAGATAGATCTACAAACACTGGAGTCAGCAACTGGAAAGAGAAAATCAACCCAGAGATGAATGAAGACAGGTGATATCTGCACCAATTAACAAATTATTTTGAATGCTGAATATGAAGAATTTATATTCTTTAAGATACTTTTTTTTCTGGACAAGTTAGCTAACTCAAATACAGACCTTCTCTGCTGTACCAGTTAACTAATTCAAATACAGACCTTCTCTGTGGTACCAGTTAAATAATTCAAATACAGACCTTCTCTGTGGTACCAGTTAACTAATTCAAATACAGACCTTCTCTGTGGTACCAGTTAAATAATTCAAATACAGACCTTCTCTGCTGTACCAGTTAACTAATTCAAATACAAACCTTCTCTGCTGTACCAGTTAACTAATTCAAATACAGACCTTCTCTGCTGTACCAGTTAACTAATTCAAATACAGACCTTCTCTGCTGTACCAATTAACTAATTCAAATACAGACCTTTTCTTCAAATACAGACCTTTTCTGCTGTACCAGTTAACTAATTCAAATACAGACCTTCTCTGCTGTACCAATTAACTAATTCAAATACAGACCTTTTCTGCTGTACCAGTTAACTAATTCAAATACAGACCTTCTCTGCTGTACCAATTAACTAATTCAAATACAGACCTCCCAGCAGTACAAGCTAACTAATTGAAATACAGACCTTCTCTGCGGTACCAGTTAACTAATTCAAATACAGACCTTCTCTGCTGTACCAGTTAACTAATTCAAATACAGACCTTCTCTGCGGTACCAGTTAACTAATTCAGATACAGACCTCCCTGCAGAACAGGTTAACTAATTCAAATACAGACCTTCCCTGTCGTACCACTTAACTTATTCAAATACAGACCTTCTCTGTCGTACCACTTAACTTATTCAAATACAGACCTTCCCTTCATTTAAAAACTAACTAATTCAAATACAGACATCTCTGCTGTACAAGTTAAATAATACAAATACAGACCTTCCCTTCATTTAAAAACTAACTAATTCAAATACAGACATCTCTGCTGTACAAGTTAAATAATACAAATACAGACCTCCCAGTTAAATAATTTAACTACAGATCTCTCTGCCGTACAAGTTAACTAAATCAAAAACAGATCTCTCTTCTTTAAAAGTTAAATAATTAGAAATCAGACCTCCCTGCTGTACAAGTTGAAAAATTCAAACACAAACAATAATCAACAGATGAGGGAATGCAAGAAGAAATTCTCCAACCTTAAAGATTGTTTTAGAATGAAGTCTGATGCAGTCGACCATCCTTTTGTTACTGAACAAGCGGGTGGCCAGTGTGTTGGCATAAATGCCGAGCCCAATCCAGTACAAGCCCAGGATTGTTTTAGCAATGCAAATGAGCACTGTGGTCTTGGTGAACTCGCTCAGAGTGTCGTAAACGTTGAAGAAGAGGCCGCTGGCTCCAAACATGAAGGCTGATGCAAGTGTGAGAACATGAAGAAGTGTTGCAATTGATTTCTTTTTTTGGCTGGGAACAAACATACATGTACTATTATTTGTTTAATTAAATTATTGTTTTAGAGTGAGGTTAAACAATTAAAAGGATTATGTGCAGTTTTGAAACAAATGTGGAAATGTTAAAAAAGAGTGTTAGGGACAGAGAGAAATTAAAGGTAGGCATAAGTGATAGAAAGCAGAAAGACAGACTGACAGAGTGATAAAAGATTGAAAATCAGAAATGGATGAGAAAGTAAGAGAGGAAAACAACTGACAAATAAGACATTTATAAGTAAGAATGGGGTAGTATCACTGAGAATGCCTGAAACCATTGACAGATAAGAGATACATAAGTAAATATGGGGTAGTATTACTGAGAATGCCTGAAACCATTGACAGATAAGAGATACATAAGTAAATATTGGGTAGTATCACTGAGAATGCCTGAAACCATTCACAGATAAGAGATACATAAGTAAATATGGGGTAGTATCACTGAGAATGCCTGAAACCATTGACAGATAAGAGATACATAAGTAAATATGGGGTAGCATTACTGAGAATGCCTGAAACCATTGACAGATAAGAGATACATAAGTAAATATGGGGTAGTATCACTGAGAATGCCTGAAACCATTGACAGATAAGAGATACATAAGTAAATATGGGGTAGTATCACTGAGAATGCCTGAAACCATTGACAGATAAGAGATACATAAGTAAATATGGGGTAGTATCACTGAGAATGCCTGAAACCATTGACAGATAAGAGATACATAAGTAAATATGGGGTAGCATTACTGAGAATGCCTGAAACCATTGACAGATAAGAGATACATAAGTAAATATGGGGTAGTATCACTGAGAATGCCTGAAACCATTGACAGATAAGAGATACATAAGTAAATATGGGGTAGTATCACTAAGAATGCCTGAAACCATTCACAGATAAGAGATACATAAGTAAATATGGGGTAGCATTACTGAGAATGCCTGAAACCATTGACAGATAAGAGATACATAAGTAAATATGGGGTAGCATTACTGAGAATGCCTGAAACCATTGACAGATAAGAGATACATAAGTAAATATGGGGTAGTATCACTGAGAATGCCTGAAACCATTGACAGATAAGAGATACATAAGTAAATATAGGGTAGTATCACTAAGAATGCCTGAAACCATTGACAGATAAGAGATACATAAGTAAATATAGGGTAGTATCACTAAGAATGCCTGAAACAATTACTAAAAAAATGAAATATTCACTAAATGATGATGCTTGAGCAGAATAGAAGGAATAAAATGGTCTGTCAAAATCACTAATATAGAGTTCAGGGAGAGAACCAAATAAATTCCAGTGAATCAGGAGGTGAGCAAAAGACTGTGGTATTGGATAGGACACACAAGAAGAAAACTTGACAATACATAGAAAAGTTCATTTAACAGGACCGCGCAGGGTCATGGAAATAAGGGAGGCAAAACATACTTGAGTAAGACAGACGGACATAAGAGGGGAAGACATGGAATGAGCTGGCACGATCGTAAAGTTAGTTAGTTGCATATCCTTCACAGGATATTGCAGAACCAAACCCAGCAATTTTGGGCTGTTGAGGTTTTTCAAGGCAAATTTACTTCCAGTAGTTTGCCATTGCTTTCTGAACTGTTGGCTTCTCGATACCACTGTCAAAACCAATGCAAGGCACAAGGCCTGCAACTAGAATCGAACCCAGCACCCTGGGTTCACAACGCCTAAGCCACAGACGCCACACGATCGTAAAAAATATAATAATTTGCCATCAACTGGTTGAAGGGATGAGCTAAACTGGGGCTGAAGAAGAATACAGAAGTAAGCAGAAGTTCATGACAGTAACACAGCTTGGCTTGGTTTGAAAGGAAGAATGTGAACTGCTGCCCAACTGACAAAAACAAACAAATGTGCACTTCTTCAATTGAATCAGGTGCCATCTCCGCAGTGAAGGCTGGCTGCAGTGATGCTCCAACATGCTCTGGTTCTTGTCTTGGTGGTAAACTCTCTCAGACTGCTGTTTTTTTTTTTTCAGCTCTTCGTGTTGTCCTCCCACTTGTACCATTGCCTACCTCTTGTTGCCTTTGATGCAACCCTCCAGTATGGTTTTAAAAGAGTATAATGTGTAAGAGTCTAGGACTCTGGTTGTCAGTAAAGAGGAGCTTCAGTTACATTTACGCCAAATGTACTCTGACAAGAAGAGGAATGAGCCTCTCGATAACAATCCAGAGATCCTTAGCGGCCTCATGCAGCCTGAGTTGCCGAAGGTGTCATTTAAAGTGATACCTCCCCTTTGGTCTGAAGTTGAGCAAATTGTGAAAAGAGCCAGCGACAAGTCTGCTCCAGGTCCGAATGGTGTTCCGTACGTTCTTTACAAGCGTTGTCCGAAAATCATACGAATGCTTCACGGCTTGTTGAGACAAGCCTGGAGCCGAAAACACATATGTCCAGAGTGGCAAAAGGCTAATGGGGTCTACATTCCCAAAGAGCAGGACTCGAAGAGTCTTTCCCAATTCAGGCCCATCTCGCTGTTGAACGTTGAAGGAAAAATATTCTTCTCGGTCATGGTTTGCCAGCTCACACCGTATCTGATGGCGAACAAGTAATCGATACGAGTGTTCAAAAGGGTGGTATCCCGGGCGTTCCTGGGTGCCTTGAACACGCGATCATGATTTGGGAGTCTATTCAGAGAGCCAAGAATGAGAGAACCCAATTGCACGTGATTTGGTTGGACTTAGCCAACGCCTACGGGGCAGTCCCCCATAGGCTACTGTGGCAGGTCCTTCGCATGTTTCACGTACCGGCACAGATCGAGCAATATTTCTCTAAGTTCGTTTTGCGCTTCTCTACCTCGACGTTTACCACGAGGTGGACTGAGCTACAAGTTGGGATAGCTATGGGCTGTACGATCTCACAAATACTGTTCGTCATGGCCATGCAGATCATGTTGGACGGGGCGGCCGGCTACGGACACGGCCTTTAAATAGGGGATCATTGGATGCTGCCATTACGCGCATTTATGGATCATTACGCGCATTTATGGATGACACGACTATAATCACGGGCAGCGAGGAATCTGCCAGCACGATTCTGAAAAGATTGGACGCGGTGGTCCAATGGAGCAGTATGCAGTTCAAATCGCAGAAGTCGAGGAGTCTGTCAATCCTTAAAGGTAAGGTTGCGGCAATCAGTTTTACGGTGGCAAGGAATAAGATCCCCACGGTTCTGGAGGAACCGGTGAAGAGCCTTTTTCGCGTTTACGATTTGAAGTTATCTGATAGAGCGGAGGTCCGGCGAATACACGAGTCACTAGCTACAGGCCTGCTCGCGATCGAGCGTAGCAGGCTGATCGGGAAGTTCAAGGTCTGGTGTCTCCAATTCATGTTGAATCCAAAGCTCCTCTGGCCGCTGTTAGTCTACGAAGTGACGATGACTGCAGTGGAGACGATAGAGAAAAAAATCAACACAGCCTTAAGAAAGTGGATTGGTGCACCGCCTTGTCTGACTGACGTGGCTCTGTATTGTAAGCAGGCTAAGCTGGTACTCCCGTTCAAATCGATAACCAAAGAGTTTAAAGTTGGCAAAGTAAGACTGGCCATGCTCTTGCGCGAGTCTTCAGACCCAAATGTCATCGCTGTCCAGCCCGCTCTAAAGACTGGTCAGAAGTGGAAAGTCCTCGATGCGATTGAATCTGCTCCGAATGCACTAAAATTGAAGGAAATATTGGGATACACTCAAACCGACCGTCGAGGCATGGGTCACGGGAAGGTCAATTGGTGGTCCAAAGCCACAGCCAAAGAGCGCTGAGACATGGTAATACAGCAAGTGAGGGACAACGAAAACGAGGTTCGGGTTCAGAAAGCAGCCCAGCAGTCGCAGCAGGGCCATTGGGTCAGCCTGGAGAGCGCATTGCCAAGAGTACTCTCATGGGGTGAGATCTGGCGAATGACCCTGCTGCGACTGAGCTTTATCGTTCGTTCTGCGTACGATGTATTACCGTCCAGTGTCAACATGGTTAAGTGGTCTGCGACTAACGATCCAACTTGCCCGCTGTGCAGAGCGAAGCAGACATTAGAACACGTTCTGTCCACATGCAGAAAAGCCCTAGGTCAAGGCCGATATACCTGGTGACACAACAAGGTGCTCAAAGAGTTGGCAGCTGTTGTGGACCAGGCTAGGATGAGGGCCAACGCGAGGGCCAGTCCTACCATCGTCCCCATACGTTTTCTCAAAGCTGGGCAGATTTACAAAGGTAGAATCAACAAAGACGCATATGCTCCATCTATGCTAGACTCTGTGAGGGACTGGTTACTGGTGGTTGATCTGCCTGGCCATGAAAGATACCCTGAGTCAATTTGAAAGACCGGCCTGCGACCTGACATAGTTCTCCACTCTGCGAAGAAACGGCAGCTCATCCTGGTCGAGCTGACCATGCCGTATGAGTCGCGAATGGACGAAAGCCACATGTACAAGCTCGAGAAATACAGTGACTTAGCAGCCGGTCTGAGGCGTACACAGTACGAGTCTTTGCCGTCGAAGTGGGAGCGAGAGGTCTCGTTTCCACTTCACTCTACAATGTGGTTAAAGAACTAGGATTGCGCAGTAATGAACGCAAACAGACACTTAAACAGCTGGGCGAGGTTGCTGAGAGGGCCTCGAGCTGGCTCAGGACACAACATAACAACGTAGGGGACGGGCCTCAGTGAGCTGGTCCGTATGTCTAGCGGAAAAGAATTTCTCATCCCTTGAAAGTCCATCGTGTCCGAATTGTCTGCCAGTGTTCCTCTGCCACCTGCTAACAAAAGTCCAACATGTGTCCGGTATACCAATCGTAAGCTTGCCGCTCGGTCGTTCAGGTATGCAGACTGCTTTAATTATGCTACCGCGACGACTTCTTATCTCACAGTACCTTCTGCAAAATCACCAATTCGTCTTGTCCCTATCCGAACAACATCCGGTAATTTCGTGCAGCAGGAGAAACCAACCCTGAGCTTCATGAACTCAGGTAGGCCCACTCTCTGAAAATGTCTAGGAGCTCGTGGGCCGAAACATTTATCGACGAGAGATTACTTCTACTGATGATTGGTAGACCCCTGCTGTACATGCTCCCCTGTGGAGTTTATTCTTAATGGTTTTAAAAGAGTATAATGTGTCCAGAATGTTTAAACTGTCTCTTTTTTGTCCCCTTCAGCAGCTATATTTTCATTCCAGACTCTTCAGAACTTTCGTGTTTGCTAGCTTTTTTCTCTTCATGAAAAATTACCTAGTCTTCTATATTTACATCTCCAGATACTCAATTTGATCTTCTACTTCCTTGTTCCTTGAAAAATTACCTAGTCTTCTATATTTACATCTCCAGATACTCAATTTGATCTTCTACTTCCTTGTTCACTGTCCAAATTTCTGCACTGTTGGCACTTTTCATTCTTTCCAAATGATAGTGTTATATTATGATTCTGAGGTTTGGAACTACCAGCCAATGGCAATGCTGAGTGTGACTAGCAAGACCTGCCCATGTTAAGAAAGTCTTCCACAGTTAGAGCAGTGGATTTCAGGACCGTTGCTGCTATCACAGCTATTTAGTGTGTTTCTTCTCAAGATGCTCAATTCTCATCTTTCCTGTGATCACTTTTTCTTTTATTCTCTTTGACTTACTGATTTGCCTCCACGTAGCACGGTCCATGGCAATTTGTTCCCATGAAATTACTCATCTCTATAACACTAAGCCTGGGCAGCATTATACAGACCATGTGTTTCAATGTAAAGTTGTTAGAAAAAAAAAAGGTAAAGATCCCTTTTCACGCCTTTAGGCGTTTAAGGTATATTAGAAGAGCACTTAAATTTTTACAGACCAATCGGCACTAGGTGGGTAATGTGGTCAGCATTACGCCGGCCGTCTTTACTTCCCCAGGACCGCCATCCTGGTATCCATTTTAGGCTGGGTCGACCTGCGACGCCCCATACCATGATAAAAATCTACGCAGCCGGAAGTAGGTTTCGATCATGGTAAACTGGAATTATGAGTCAGACTCACAACGCCTAAGCCACAGATGCCACATGTAAAGTTGAGTATTCAGAAAATGTGACAATACTCATTTTCAATGTGTTGTTTATCTCTCTAGATGTCAACAATTTTTGCCTCCTATGGAAGACATTTTAACCATTCCTATTCTCCGTTTGACTTCTATTTCCATTTCTACCATCATCGGCTACTACATGTCCAAGATAGGAGAAACATGTTTTTATTTCTACTGTTAAACTTACCTTGTTTCGGGACCTATGTGAAGAGTTGTCACCAAAATTGACCATATCCAATTAGGAAGTTGGGGTGGCATTTCGACTTGTGACCTCTGCAGGTCATCATCATTGGGGGCATTTCTGAACAATTCTGACTGGAAGACCCTACCAAAATCTTGAGGTGATCGTCTGAAAAAGAATGAAGATCCAAAATAACAAGATAGCAACAAGCAACCCTACTACTAATCATGCCAAAGGAGGCAACTAGAGGTGGAGTTAGTACTGGGACGGGCACCATTCCAAATACAACACATGAAGGCAAAACTTCAGGCCAAGAGAAACACAGTGCAAGCCAAACTTTACAGATCAATGAGTGAATTTTAAAAAGAACAGTGAGGTTCATACTATAGACAACATTTCAGACACACATAATCTATTTCGTGAACAAAATAATAAGAATAAGGAGGAGAATTAGCATTGCATTAAAAAAAAAAAAACATTGAGCTAAAACTAGAAACTACTTCTGTATTCATCATTAAAAATGTCACTGTCATGCTGTGCTGTAATTTACAGCTAAGCTGCAATATCTGGGCCTTCTGACTCAACAAATCATCATCATTATCATAATTGATGTGCCATTATATGCCACATTGAAATTGCCGTCTATTTCTCCACATTGAAACTGCCGTCTATTTCTCTACACTGAAATTGCCATCTATTTCTCCACATTGAAACTGCCATCTATTTCTGGACATTGTAAATGCCATCTATTTCTCCACACTGAAACTGCCGCCTATTACTTTACATTGAAACTGCCATCTATTTCTCCACATTGAAATTGCCATCTATTTCTCCACATTGAAATTGCCATCTATTTCTCCACATTGAAACTGCCGTCTACGCTCACATTGAAATTGCCATATATTTCTCCACATTGAAACTGCCGTCTATTTCTCCACATTGAAATTGCCATCTATTTCTCCACATTAAAACTGCCGTCTACGCTCACATTGAAATTGCCATATATTTCTCCACATTGAAACTGCCGTCTATTTCTCCACATTGAAATTGCCATCTATTTCTCCACATTGAAACTGCCGTCTATTTCTCCACATTAAAATTGCTGTCTATTTCTCCACATTTAAATTGCCGTCTATTTCTCCAAATTGAAACTGCCTCCTATTTCTCCCCATTGAAATTCCCATCTATTTCTCCACATTGAAACTGCCGTCTATTTCTTCACATTGAAATTGCCGTCTATTTCTCCACATTGAAATTGCTGTCTATTTCTCCAAATTGAAACTGCCGCCTAGCTTCCTTCTGTATACGCTCCAGTTTCTCTAGCTGACTTTTCGAGACAGTGAGTAGCCCCAAAAGTTCAGTGCAGAGAGGAAAGAGAAGTGACGGGGGTTCGTAGCGAAAGCCAATGGAAACTTTTAGTGCAAAACAGCCTAGCATATGACAAAACAACATCCAGATTGAGAATGGAGGTGGAGGCGGTAACGGCAGCTCTCCGGTGGCTAGAAAACAAGATGATTACACATGTCATAATTGTAACAGACTCTGAAAGCATGCTGAGAAAGGTGAAAACAGGGATGCTTCAAGCAGAGTGGCAAGCTTCACTGGGAAGGTCACAGGTAGTAAGCATACTTTGGATCTTTTCTCCAGGCTATGCCGGCATGGTGGGTAATGAACAGGCAGACAGTTTGGCTAGATCTGCACCACTGGCTCGTGAATTGATACATGACAAAGCAGATGTGGTCAAGGCCCTTTGGGAACAAGCAAGAATCAGTAGAGAAAGAAGATTATTATGGCCTGGAGAGAATGAGGCACCTGGGTGTAACTAGAGGGTCTGGCCGGCTCACTACACTCAGAGGAAAAGCAAAACGGACATATAACCAGATTGTAACCGGTACCATCAGTATTGGAACTCTGCGGTGGCTGCTGAAGATGACGACGGAGCATGCATGGAAATACGCCGAGTGTTGCGATGTCAATTCTAAACTTGAGTCAACTCAACTCAACTCACTTGGATGTCATGAATGGAATCCAGTCCAGCATTTGTCATCAATGTCTGCCTTAGGATTTCTCTTGGACATCCTCATGTCCTCCATCCCTCTAGTCACCATTCCTGTGTCTGTCTGGTGATTTACTGCTTGTTTCTTCTTCAGATGTGTCCAATATAGGGCCACCATCTCTGTCTTCATGTAGCTTCAGCAAACCTTTTATTTGCCTTTTTTTGTGACACGCTTGTTAGAGCCACTGGGTCAAGGGACAGTAGGTCATGAGGGGCACTGGTTACATGAGCGGTGGATTAGGGACAGTGAGTCTCTAGGTGCTAGTGGGTACAGCAGCATTGGGTCTAGGGGGCAGTAGGTTTAGGGGGCAGTGGGTCAGGGGCTAGTGGGTCTAGGGGGCAGTAGGTCTAGGGGCAGTGGGTCTAGGGGACAGTGGGTCTAGGGGGCAGTGGGTTTAGGGGGGCAGTGGGTCTAGGGGCTAGTGGGTACAGCAGCACTGGATTTAGGGGGCAGTGGGTCTAGGATGCAGTGGGTCTAGGGGGCAGTAGGTCTAGGGGCAGTGGGTCTAGGGGGCAGTGGGTCTAGGGGGCAGTGGGTCTAGGGAGCAGTGGGTCTAGGGGAAAGACTCCATCTTCAGCAGCAAGCAAAGAGTTCCAATTCTGATGGCACCAGTAACTGTCTGATTGTACATTTGTCTCGCCTTTTCCTTGAGTGCTGAGCATTGGAGAGATCCCCTAGCAGTGCCATTCTCCTGAAACAGTAATGATTTATTTCTTTCTCTGCACTGTTCACTGGCTCCCAAAGGGCCCTCACACCATATTGTTAGGTGATGTAGTCAACATGATTCCGGTTGCTTTAACCTTCCAGGACACTTCCTAGTACCTATTTTCAGCTGGATCACAGTGGGAGCTCAAGTCTGTGTTTTTTTTTTTAAACTGCCTTCAAGTGAATTTGAACTTTTGATTACTAGGTTAGCAGGCACGTGTGAAAGTGCAGAAACTGGATAAAGTTTAAAGGGAAGAGAGGCAAAGGAAAACCAAAAGAGAAGACGATAAATAGTTAAGCACCATGACATGGAAGAACATATGAATCAAATATAACTGATAGAACACAGGACAGCCTAAATAACTGACAGAACCATAACATATTTGTGGACAGACATGACTGTCATCTCCATATGGCTTGACTTTAAGAAGGTAATAAAAGGGCTGGGACCAGACTTAGAAAAACATAGAATGAGACAAATAGGAGAAACAACAAATACAAACATGATAATATACAAACATACCAGGTCATATTGATATAAATAGGTTGCACAAAGGGCTTGCGTTTATAAGGGAGAACTGGTCTAGAGGTTTTTAACTCAGCCCGTCCAGACCTCCAGAAAAACTGTGTTGCAAAGCTTTCCTCCCAGCCCCCTTCTAGGCTTTGACCCCTCCCCCTCCGATGCATTTAACCCTGTCCCCGCCAATGCTTTAAACCCAGCCTGCTTTTATGCTTAAGACCCAACCCCTTCCCTGGCTTTCAGCCCTGCCCTACCCAGACTTTCAACACAAACCAAACCTAAACCTCAAACGCATAAGCCAAACAGGTAAACTACTTCACCAGGGAGAGCTCTGTGCCGCACGAACATCAACTGAACCAGCATAAGACCACACCAGCCACTGACTCACGTGTAGAGATTATCAGTCCAGGATACCTGTGCTGGTGAAGGCAGCCTGCTCACATTAGCTGAGGTAGAAGCCCAAAGCCCAATCCTGGAAGGGGGTTCACTGTCTGCTAACAACTTGCGGGGAGTGTGCGACATTCTATTCTCTGAAATGCATTATCACCACATTATTTACTTTTCAGGCCACTTGGAAAGATACATTGTGTATCATACCTAATGCTGTATTTAGAAATATTGTATGGTGAAGCCCAAATGTCTCCCGGCCATGTTACTCGGTAACTCTGTATAAACCATCCAGGAAATTTAACCCTGATCAGTGGAGGTTGTGATATTCTGAAAAGAGCTCACTGTCAAACTGCATGTATTTATCACTTGTTGCGGTGTAGGCAGGAAATTGGGGAGCTTAATGAGCAGTGGGTCTAGGAAACAGTAGGTTTAGGAGGCAGTGGGTTTAGGAGGCAGTGGGTCTAGGGGGCAATGGGTACAGGAGCAGTGGGTACAGGAGCAGTGGGTCTAGGGGAAAGTAGGTTTGAGGGGCAGTGGGTGTAGGGAGCAGTCGGTCTAGGGGAAAGTGGGTGCAGGAGCAGTGGGTCTAAAGAGCAGTGGATACAGGATCAGTAGGTACAGCAGCAGTGAGTCTAGGGGAAAGTGGGTTTAGGGGGAAATTGGTAGAAGAGCAATGGGTACAGAAGCAGTGTGTCTAGGATGCAGTGGTTATAGAAGAAGTGGGTCTAGGGGGCAGTGGTTACAGGAGCAGTGTGTCTAGGATGCAGTAGATTTAAGGGACAGTGGATCTAGGGGGAAGTGGTTACAGAAGCAGTGGGTCTAGGAAGCAGTGGATCTAGGGGGCAGTGGGTAGAGGAGCAGTGGGTACAGGAGAAGTGGGTCTAGGGGACAGTGGTTACAGGAGCAGTGGATCTAGGGAGCAGTGGGTCGTCAAGAACTGTGCAAGTTACAATTTTATTTTGCATTCAATAACACTGAATTATGAAACACATTCACTAACCCCTAAGCTACAGGCCTGGAGTAGACCATTGAACGTTTTTTTTAAAACATATGAGTAGAGAATCGAACTGAATATGTAAATCACTTCTAAACCGATTTTTATGTTAATTATTGTGACCTTCAAACTAAATATCTAGGCTTCAGAATAAACAGCAATGAAGACTGTTCAACAGGTCAAAAAGAGGATAGCTATAGTAATGAAAAAATTAAACAGCATGAAAAATGTATGGTTAAGCACCAGCAAGGAAATCAAAAGTCAAAATTTGGAGAGTACTCATCTTCCATGTAGCAACAAAAATAAGGGGAAATAGGCGCTATTGAGCTAAAATGCTATACAGAGATTTTCAGAATACCACGGACCAGGAAGAATATAAATAGCAACATCCTAAAAGACACGATCATCAAGGAAGATTGGTTAGTAAACAGCATCTTGTCTCGGAAACTGAAGTATTTTGGCCACATCAAGTGCGAAAGCGCTATGGAAAGAATAATAACAGAAGGCAAGGTACCAACAATGAAGATGGGCACAGTATATAAGTGCATGAGGCAGGAGTGCTGGCGAGAGACCGAGTTTCTTTCAGGCAGACTGTGATGAGAGCAACGTTCTGCAAAGGACCTGCTTCATGGTGATGATGATGAGCGTGTCCTTATGTCTTCACTTCCATCTTTGGCATCTATAAATGCTAATCAGCATTGATTGAGAAATTGAGATGAGAAAACATAGCTGAAGCTGAGGAAAATATTTTATCTGGTTTACATAAAACTGGCCAGATATTCTTGGGTCTGAATTCACACCAGCTTGAGTTTCTTCTTGGCATTCACCAGCTGTAAACTTTGAGCCTTGAGCCTTGTTCTAGAGCCTGAGTATTGTGTGCACATCAGTTGTGCAGAACTGGGTTATTTGTAAGCAAACTGGTGGTTTGTTGCTCAAATAGATGTACTCCAACTCTTTAAAAAAAAAGGCACGTTTGTCCTTGTTAGGGAAACAGTTTCTTTTCTTTTCCCCAAAAAACATTGGAGCACCAGAACCCACATTTTTACTCTGGGAAGCAAAGGTGGCAAGTGTGATGTTGACAACTTCGCCTAAGAAGTACTGATTAGTTTATGACAAATTTAAGGCAGATATATGGCTAATGAAAAGATATGGCTGAAACAGCATTTGGCTGGGCCATGCATATGTCTAATACCCAGATGTGCCTTGTATAAAGATATAGCTACTACGCATACGTGACTGATTACAGACATGCCTTATAACCAGATGTGGTGGATATAAAGATATGGTTACTACACTGTAGCACAGCTCTGTGCTTCGTTGCGTACGTTGATGTCACACCCAGGTTCGTCTTTAGGTTTTGCTACAGGAGTCGATTTAGAAGATTATAGATGAGGAGAAAGATGGTAGTGTCGATAGTCGTGATTACAATGATGATGTCTTGCTTGCTGCATGCTTCTCACGTAACTCTGATGCTTGAAATATTAAATGTCTGGAAACAACCGTTCTATACTGTCTTTACTGTAATACTTCAGCAATGTCACAAACAACATCAATGATATTCTAAAAGGTGCTGTGTTCGCTCTATGCCTACATCCTGTTGAAGTCGCGCTGTGTTCTTCATCTCTAGTTACTTTGTTAACTAGTTCTAGCGTCTGCAACTGCCACCTGGCTTATAGTGCTGTCGGGCACTAACGGCTGGATCGTCGACTCTTAACAGTTGCTAATAATGTAGCTTTCTAATGTGTCTCTGTTAACCATGGATCCATGTTCCTTGTGTGTCATCTCTGTAGTTCAATGTCTTGTTTCATGTCTCTTCTCTAGTGTCTGACTTCGAGGCTCTTCTCCTTCTAGTACTGAGTTGGCATCTCCTCAGCTGAAAGTGCTCTATGAGGGTCCATGTTACTAGTCCCTCCACTTTCTAAGTCTTGTAGACTGAAAGCTGCTTAAGTGGATTCTTACCCAATATTTATACTTGGATGCTGGAGTGCTAGTTATTTGTTTTCTTTTCACTTTTTCTGCTTCTAGAATATTCTTGTATGCTCAACTTGTTTACTATGTACGTTCTCAGTTGGGATTTTCTAATTATATCTAGATTGCATCAGATTTCATCATCTTATTCTGCGCAAATATAGTGGTTAAACTGACAACTGACATCATATAGACTCCTTAAAAAAACAAGTACTACTATGTTCTCTCTGAAAAGGCAGGTCAACAATGACCTCAAATACTATTTACAAAATATTGTTGCTAAGACCTGTTGATTTTCTTCTCATTAACTAATACACAAAATTCTATCTCCTGAAAAACAAGTGATAACGTTAATATTTAGTTTTGGCGGGAAAAGAAGGCCACCAAAACTTGTTGCTCTCAGTACATCTTAGCTATGCGCAATAACCAACCTCAAGTGATGATGTCTCCCTGTATCAAAACATATGTGACTGATCACAGATGTGCCTTATAACCAGATGTGGCTGATATAAAGATATGGCTACTACACATATGTGACTGGTCACAGACGTGCCTTATACCCAGATGTGGCTGATATAAAGATATGGTTACTACACATATGTGTGATCACAGACGTGCCTAATAACCAAATGTGGCTGATATAAAGATATGGCTACTACACATATGTGACTGATCACAGATATAGCTAATATCTAGATGTGGCTGATATAAAGACATGGCTACTATACATTTGTGACTGACCATGATGTGCCTTATACCCAGATGTGGCTTATGTAAAGATATGGTTACTACACACATGTGACTGACCACAGATGTGCCTTAAAACGAGATGTGGCTTATATAAAGATATGGCTACTACACAGATTTTACTGATAATACTTGTTCTTGTTATTTTCATTCGTCTGACTGACATAAATGCATTGTGCCGGTTTACAGCAGAGTTACGATATTTGCTCCTGTTTGGCTGACACCTCCAACTTCATCGAGCATTTATTGACTGGGTTAACTTACCGGGATATAGCTAATACAGTTATAGCTTGTACAAAGATATAGTTAATACAGTTATAGCTTGTACAAAGATATAGTTAATACAGTTATAGCTCGCACAAAGATATAGCTAATACAGTTATAGCTTGTACAAAGATATAGCTAATACAGTTATAGCTTGTACAAAGATATAGCTAATACAGTTATAGCTTGTACAAAGATATAGCTAATACAGTTATAGCTTGTACAAAGATATAGCTAATACAGTTATAGCTCGCACAAAGATATAGCTAATACAGTTATAGCTCGCACAAAGATATAGCTAATACAGTTATAGCTCGCACAAAGATATAGCTAATACAGTTATAGCTCGCACAAAGATATAGCTAATACAGTTATAGCTTGTACAAAGATATAGCTAATACAGTTATAGCTTGTACAAAGATATAGCTAATACAGTTATAGCTTGTACAAAGATATAGCTAATACAGTTATAGCTTGTACAAAGATATAGCTAATACAGTTATAGCTTGTACAAAGATATAGCTAATACAGTTATAGCTTGTACAAAGATATAGCTAATACAGTTATAGCTTGTACAAAGATATAGCTAATACAGTTATAGCTCGCACAAAGATATAGCTAATACAGTTATAGCTCGCACAAAGATATAGCTAATACAGTTATAGCTTGTACAAAGATATAGCTAATACAGTTATAGCTCGCACAAAGATATAGCTAATACAGTTATAGCTTGTACAAAGATATAGCTAATACAGTTATAGCTTGTACAAAGATATAGCTAATACAGTTATAGCTTGTACAAAGATATAGCTAATACAGTTATAGCTTGTACAAAGATATAGCTAATACAGTTATAGCTTGTACAAAGATATAGCTAATACAGTTATAGCTCGCACAAAGATATAGCTAATACAGTTATAGCTCGCACAAAGATATAGCTAATACAGTTATTGCTCGCACAAAGATATAGCTAATACAGTTATAGCTCGCACAAAGATATAGCTAATACAGTTATAGCTCGCACAAAGATATAGCTAATACAGTTATAGCTTGTACAAAGATATAGCTAATACAGTTATAGCTTGTACAAAGATATAGCTAATACAGTTATAGCTTGTACAAAGATATAGCTAATACAGTTATAGCTTGTACAAAGATA